ATACAACATTTAAATTTCATTAACCGAGAAGGAGATGATCAAAAATATCAAATGAAAGTATGAAATTGGACAGTGAAGGATAAAAACTTAAAAATGCCTACATCTTTGGCTAACAATGAAATTAATAATTGGGCCAAAAAATTAAAACAAAAAATTGAATTTAGAAATTGAGTTGGGTTGTGTTAGCTAGGCATGGACTTGTCTTGGGAGTTGAAGCATTAATCACTAATTTATTTAATTTGCTAATTTGTTTAGAAAAAATTAAAATAATTTAATCAATTTAATATAAAAAATTATTTAGATTCGGTTCTTCGGTTCTTGGTCTAGAATCGAGAATCGAACCAAACCATCGGTTTTCGATTCAAAGATCCGTTCGGGTATTTAACTTATGAAGAACAGCTTGATTCGGTTCGGTTTGGATTCGGTCCGGTTCAGTTCGGGAGTTTTGTTCAGACGGGTAATTACTATCTAGTGCATTTCATTTTTTGTTCATTTTATTTTTATTCTTTCGATTGAGATAGTCAAATTTCCGACAACAAAATATAGCCTCCTTTTGGTGGAGATTAAAATCAAATTTTTAGCAAATTTTGATAAAAGTTGATAAAATATGTAGTTGAAGAGGTGTGGATCCTATAAAACATGTGATTAAAATTAATTGTTGACTTTGACTTTAATAAAAATCTAGAGTTTAATTTCTATCAAATAGGGGCATAGAATACCGTAAGAAATAACACCAGAGTAAATGTTAATAAACTTTGCAAAACAACCACATGAAAAAACATGTCTTAGTAAAGAATGCAACTATTTTAACATTAATTGAAATATATCAATCTATATAAATTAGAAAGAATGTAGAGACAAAAGTGCTCATATATGGAGAAAATGATTAGCAACTCTAAACCCATCCATCAAGAACATATATTAATCAAGTGGAACTCACTGTTTAAGACATTATATTGATGTATTAAAACAATATCACAGAACATTATAGTCTGTAAAGTTAGAAGCTTCACTACATAAAAATTAATAAAATTATATTGACTATGCATTCCACTATTGAGCTATCTTGAAAAAGTCAACCCCAACTAATGTCTCATCCCATGTTGGTGCTCCAAGCAGGGGCAGACCCAGACCTTGAAGTTCGTCGGGAAGGATTGCAGCAGCCGGCGATCAGAAGGAAGAAGATGAGTAGCCAATTTTATTTTTTTTCCTTTGTAACTTTCATTTGAGCTTGGGCCTTTTATT